ATTGGTGAATATGGAGGTAGAAAAATTTGCTCATGTTGATGAGTTCGGAACAATTCTTTAACTGCTTCTGTTTTGTGAAAATTAACATTGTCCATTACAACAAATGCATTTTCAATTTGATGGAATTGAAATTGTTGAAATAGTTGGTCAAGAAATGAATGAAAATCTTCGCCATTATAAGGTGTGTTTTTGGTTTCAAAGAAGAATAAAGAATTGTAATTCATACAGGCACAAACGCTATAATTTTTCCCTCGAATTGTTTTTACCTTTTTGTTAGCTCTAGAACCAATAGCTGACCTACCATAATTAGTTCGAGAATTGACTTGTATTCCGAACTCATCAACAAAGTAAATTTTCTCTCGATAAGGTAGCATTGAGATGAATTTATGAGCGTAATCAAATCGAAGGTCAATTGTCCTTGGATCATTCCTTCTCTCTGGTATCAAAGAAACACGTTTGAAAGAATAAAAGAAACCAGAAATAGTCCGATCAATTGTTGAAAGACTAACACTTTTACCCAATTCATTGGCAACTCTCGATTGGATTTGATTCAAAGTCAAACCAACATTTTCATCAATCCATCCACGGATCAATTGACGATCACTATCACTGAGTTTTGGTTGTTTTCCTTTGACCGTTTTCTTTGTTGACCTTCCTTCCTTTATCCAAACATTTTCAATTGAATTAATAGTTGTTCTTTTGACTCCGAACAATTTACCTATTTCATCTTTTGATACACCTTTGGACAGAGCTTGAATGATCTTGGCTCTAATTTCATCACTAATTTTTTGATAGGAACCTCTTCTAGGTGAAGGTGAAGTACTCATTTTAACACACAATAAATACAAGTGAACTGAACTAATTTTGAATCGTGAATAGTCACTGATTTACTGATTTGACCCTTTAAATATTTTCCCATGAAGCTGACCGAAAAGTCTTTGACTAAATCCTTTGAAAACTTGACTAAAGCTTAAGACAACCGACTAAAGCTAATGACAAAAAAGCTTCAGCAAACTGGTCCTCTACCGGTTTGACTAAATCCAATGAAAACTTGACTAAAGGTAGTGAAAACTCGACGAAACTCACCGAGAAATGCTGTAAGTTTGTATTGAATAATATCTTATAAAGAATAATCCTGAATATTAAGAAGAACCTGTAGATTGATGTGTGAATAAAGACAAAGCAATAAATATAATTCTGTAATTAAATGATTATCTTCATTTTTGGATTTCAGAACGTTAATATCATGAAAATTGATCTATTTCATTGAATAAAGTTGGTTTGAAATTGATAGCATAATTATGTGTTATTAATATTAATCAGCGATTATAAACTCAAATCGGAATTTCCGAGATTAATTTAATCACTTAACATCGATATATCAGGCAATTTTCTCTGACTAATATCAACAAAATTCCAGGTAACTCGTTTATTTTAACTTCTACCGAATTTGAAGGATATATGCTAACCAAACATGATCGTTTACTTATATTTGAGTGTTAAGTTTTTATGCACTGAAGCACCATAGTTTCAAGTTCTTTGCGCTCATACGTTCATTTGGCCTCCAACCGACCTCTGCAGTCATTTTTACGTAGTACACTTCTAGTCTACTAACATGCAGATCGCATGCAGATATCGCTCTCAAAGCATTTCAAGCCAAAAGAAACGATTTTGCTCCAACTTGTATTGCTTCTCAAAATGGAAGTTGATGGAAAGTTCCTCAACTGTTTATGCCCAAGTGTCATTGCTGTTACTCTTTTCTTTAAGAATGTAAACTCACAATTTTTGCTTCAATACTGGGTGTTTTTATCCTTGACGCTTTTGTGTTAATAACTTTTGAACTAGAGGTCAGATCCTCATGATATTCAGTCAGTAGAACTCCCAGAATTGAAGAATCCCAAGCCTTTGAATCGCAAGACATTCAAGTTCATTCGGTTATTTGACCTCTGAATGATTTTGAAGATTATTTTCTGAGTTCGAACTGTTCAAATTGATTCATGTTTTTTACATTTTCATAACTCATGCCATCGGATAGATAAACGAATTTTCCCCAGAAGCATTCATTAACTGAACATTACATGCATACTTATATCTTTTTACCAATATATGTTATCAACATGAAACAAACATCTATCGATCTAAAAAAATTTGAACTCAAAAAATTACCTGGAAAGTCATTTGTTAGGTCGAATAGCTGAATGACCACGAATGTCCTCTAAACTCTGGATTTATGGTCATGCAATTTTGCAAATTTTTCTGAGTGAATATCATAAAGATATGAACTTTTGTTCAAAATTTATTGCGCAAACGAGCGTCAAGGATAAAAAAATCCAGTAGAATCTGACCTTTTCAAGCCCTTTTCTAATTTCTTCCTGAACCTCTTAACAATGCTTCATTCATAGTTACTCAGTAGTCACATGTTACTTTATCTGCCCAATCTTGATTGCAAAATATTCCACTGACATATTGTTTCAAGGCTGTAGCTCCAATATTGGTGGATTCGCTATTTCTGTAGGACTCAGCAGTCCTCATCAGGCTTAAAATGGCCACGTATTCATTGCTGAACTGCCAATTTTGGACCATGAATGTACAGCTAAAACTACACAGGAATGATGAATTGGCTACAATCGAAATTGTCCCTTCTTATTTATATCTTGGAGTATTGGACCTTATTATCTCTATCATCGTGATCCATATTAAATATTTAAACTAACAAACACCTGCATCAATCTTGACTTGACTTTGGTATAGCAGAAAAGTACCACCGAACTAGCAATCCTTGTTGGTTTCTCTACAATTGAAGATAAAAACGATTTCGTATCAAAAAGACGTACACCTACGGATGGTAGAGGCTATCGCATAAATACAACATGTTGGACGTGGTTAATATTGTTAATTGCAGGTATTTGTTTAGTTTTCTGAAACAATGAGAAATCAGAAGTTTTTCAATGGACTTCAAATGCCCTTGAAGTGACACGCTATAGTTTATGAGTTCCATCGGTGCAATTGCGCGTTTTTTGATGCCTTGATACCTTGGAATTTGCTGCGCTCAGAATTTAAAAGATTTCTGTTCATTCATCAGCCAGACTGATATTGGATTTTCAAGCCGACACAAACACCTGTGAAGCTAGCGAATCTAGTTTAATCACAGTGAAAAATCCAGCGATTGATCGATTCGCCTGCAGGATACCATATAATACGTATATAATAAATAACGAACGATTGAGTAATCTTGAAAATACAAATTTGAAGCATGTTATACAATGTTAACAATCTAAGACAATAATTCAAGTAAAATATTCCAAATCATGATGTAATTAGGAGATAATGAAATAGGAAAAAAGCAGAAAAACTAAGCTATTATTAATATTAAATAATAGAGTTAACTTTTAGAGCATTACTTCAACCCGCGCCTTTACAAGAATACATACTGACATCTAGTGGCTTCTTAATAAACTATTGCAGTCTCTGTAAAAACTAGTGAAGGGACTGACTCTGACATCTATTTTCATCAAGATGAAGTATTCTTAAATTCGTTCAATTTTCCCTCGAAACATGAAAACGAAAAGACTATGTGCAAAATACATTATTCATCATCGGTATATCAAAATAGATCTTACCCATTTCTCTCAACAATTAACATCCAACTTTTTATTGAAAAAAGTTTTGATTTGAATTTTCTTTGATAAAATGATTGAATGAAAGTTACTAAACAAAATGTCAGTTGTTTTTGATAACAAAAATAGATGAAAAATATCGATACTAAAGTAAAATATGGAACAAGAAGTAACAAACGATAAATGTAAAGATGAATGGATAAATACTGCCAATAACAGATTACTTTGAATTTCATACAATTGATGAATTTTCATTCATCTTTCCAAACCATTTTTCACCAAGGTTCACAAAAAAATAATTTAATGATAGTTTCTAAAATATTTGGCTTTAGGCCATCAAGCATCAGGAAATGGCGTTGCAATTAATAAATAGAAAAGAAAAAAAGTTGAGAAAAAATGGTAAAAAATGGATGATTAAATCCATGAAATGTTCATGCAGTCCAAGTAGCTTCTTACATGATAAATGTTGATTGAAAAAAAGGATTAAAAGGTCAAGCAAAGTGTCGGTCGATTCAACTGCTCTTTTTCCCTGTAACTCAATTGATGGATTGCCTCAACTATTGATGGAAGCAAATTTTTGACTGGAAATCTTAACTGCATCTCGATCACATTACTTCATCTAGATCAATATGACACAATGAGAAAAGTGCATCTTAAGGAAAAGATTGGGAGGAAAAAGTAGCTGAAAAAAGTCACAAGATGAGCCAAAGTAATCTTCATCTTCTTTCATATTATAATATACAAAAGCAATGAAATGTTATTGGGAGGAACTGGGAGTAAAATAATGAAAGATAACAGGGAATGATGACTCTGTATTTGTCACTCAAAGGCTGTGAGTAAATGTAAAGCTCAAAAAGGGTCACAATTTGATAACATCATGTTGAGCATGATGGTGAAGGAGGATTGGAACGAAAAGGCAAAGTGTTGGAATTTATGGAAAAGGCAAAACATATTAATGCTCTTATTGGCAATCAGTTTTCCATGTTAATCATTTCGATGGAAATCACGAAATTCAAAGTCGAGTTAATATCAATTTTCATTGAACATGATATTGAAGAGTGAATAAAATGAAGACTTTTGATTTTTTGCTTTTCAAGTTTATCGATTAAAGAATGATTATTGTTTCAATATATCGATCGAAAATATTATAATTTTAAATGTACATTCATTGGTTATAAATCATTCTTGAACTTGATAATGAATTGTTGAGAGAAACATTTATCATAATTAGAATCATCAATTGTCTTTACTTAACCAAGAAAAAAAATTTGTTTCTTTTTGCCAACTTTTATCTTCTTTTTCCATCCAAATGAATTTTCAGTTAATTTGATTTTCCCTGTTAATCAATAATGTTAATTGTAATGAAGCATAAAGTAAACTTACCTAAGACAGTTAATCTCATGGTTCGATAAACTGTTCTCCCAATGCGATAATCAATTCTACATTTATATTCAGCTTCATCTTCCTTTTCAACAGTCTTGATCAGCAACTTGGATATCGGATAGTTTATATTGAATACCATTCGATCTGCAACTTCCGAAGAATGTGAGGCTTCTTTAAGGCTTGTTTTACGAGCATCGACTGTATAAATTGGTCGAACCGAATCATTGCGATACCAAAGAATAAGAATTATCGTGTCATCTCCATGTTCACCTGAAATATCACAAGGTATTGTAAAGTTCTGTCCAGTATAAGCCACAAACAAGTTTTTATCATAAAAATCGCTTTCTGTTGGAAGAAATGAAAAAAATTTTAGAATTTAAAAGTCGAAACTGTTTTAAATTATATTCAAGAATTTTCAGCTTTTTGGGTTCGATTGAAACTGATCTGTGATGAACTCAATGGACATAGAATTGAGTTGGAGAACGAAATTGGTTATTAATCGTTTCTTTGGTAACCAAAATATTTTTAATGAATATCAATTTGATCGACTTTCGTTGAAACTTTTTTTTCTGATCATTTCTTCTTATTTTGCTTTGGAAATGTTATCTTGTCTGAATGTTGGATAAGTTGTCCAATCAGCTTAATCAAAAGGTTCAAATTTTTGGCTTGCTTGCGAAAGGAAGGAGTAAAGCACCAACAGCATCAAGAGGAACCATTAAGAGCAGAAAATTTGAGATTAAATTGACTACCAAAAAGAATGTCTTCTGGGAGTTTCTTTTTCCTATTTTTCTTTCTTTTTCTCTCTCTTCTTTCTTCATCTCATTTGTTTTTGTTGAGCTTATTTTATTCACAAGTATTAAGAATAGAAACATTGTAAACAGAAAAATAAGAGGTTAAGAGGCACTGAAAAAGCACCAGAGAAACAAGAATAATGTTGATAATATCAGAGCTCAAGTGGATAATTTGAATCTTTAACAATTTGTTTTACAATAAAAATGTTAACCTAAGCAAAGCCAGGAAAGCTGAACAATACAAAAACAGAAACTATTTCAACATTGAGAAACATTATTCTGTCATGAGGCAGAAAAGTTTGGTAAATAATCAGCAATACTTTTATATTAAACAATTCATCAGTTAATTCATCAATTCAACGCAATAAGAAACGATTCAAAGGTGAATCAAATCGAAATTCTTGGTCAGAACATTTTCATTTTTCATTTAACTTCACCAATTTGAAGTACATGTGTATTAAAAGAAGCGTTTTCAAAAATATCTCAACCAACAAAAAGAAAACATTTCCTACTTTGAACACATGTTCGAGTCGAAATCAACAAATATGACTCCAAACCGAAAAAGGCAATAAATCGTAAAATAATCCGTTGACGTTTCGAAAGCCCTTCTCAACATATAACTCGAGATTTCACTTATTTTCGTTGAGTTAAACATCAAAGTTACAAAAACTTATCGATCTCTTGATCGATGCTTTAGAATCTTTTAAGAGACTTTAGATCGTTCTTTTGCTAATGAAATTGAGTATCTACTTTGATTCTAGAATTTTTCTAAAATCGAACTGAAATAGAAATTTAAATATGATCGATTATTGGCAAATGTGAATATTTTCATTGAGAATAAAAGATCAGAATATTGATTGTGGAACAAATCGAAAGCAATTCTGTTGAACAATTCCATTAATTTACTTTTTATTCAATTTTTCTGAGCATTCCTCTCCTCACATCTTCTAATGGTTATTGCATTACAATTATTTTTCATAACTCAACTTACATGCTATTATTATCTCATTGAAGAAGAAGAAATGAGTTAAAATTGCCTCAATCGTTTGAATTGCGTGTTTACCATCGAAATTCAAGAATAGAAGAAAAACAATAAGTTCACAAGAAATGAATAATCACAAGAAAATGCTTCTCTTTTGTAATCGCTCAACATTTTCTTGTCATTTAAAACCATTTAATTTCTCAAGAAATTCTGTTGATAACTGATTACAAAATATGATTCAATGTACTTGACAAGAGAGTGAAGAATGACAAAAGGTAAACAGAAGTAAATCCAGATGAATGAATAGATTGAAAAAGTAAAGTTTCATGACATTTTCATCTTCCATTCTTTCGTTCATCTTGCAACGAAATGTTACCTTCAAAATATTTTTGACAAAAACCGTTATTCCAAAGATGATACTCTGTTCACATTGACACATCAACGAACAACGATTGATATGTAATGGTGAACGAATATAAAGAAAAGAAAAGTTCCTAAAAGTAGATTTTCTGTTGATCGAGAAAAAGAACAAAAAAGAAAAGAAATTATTGCAAATTCTGGATAATATGTAGGTTCAGTTTCTCTCCTTATTTTGCGTTATTTTCCTGTTTCTCAACTTTTCCCTTTCCGATCATGAAACTGATGATGGTGTGAGCTGATAACATGAATTTTACTCTTTTAACATATTCTCATCAAGATGATGGAACAAGACAAAATTCATTCAATTTTTAGTTGAACTCATGAAGAAAGAGAGAGAGAGAGAGAGAGAAATGAACGTCATCAGGAAACAAGGAAAGCAAGTTAACCAGATATTCTGGTAAAGAGAAAAAGAAAGAAAGAAAAGATGAAAAAAAGAAGATAACACCATCATTTGGACAGAATTGACACCAACATATCATGAATAGGTTATAAGATGTTCCATGTTATTCCATGTTACCAGTTATGTAACCATATTTTATATTTTACTTACTCTCCACTGCTCTTTTCATCACTTCAATGAATTCATCTTTTGGTTATCATTATTGTGCTTCAATGTGCTATTCATGAGAACCAACTAATGTGCTGAGAAAAGAGTCAAAATTTTCAATCGAAAATAACATTCCAAATGAGCTTAAAATGTTGCCTCTAATGAAACTTGAAAAAAGTGTCTCCAATCCCAGTTGACTTTTCCATCTTTTACATCAAAATTTCATGACACTTTCCATGCATTTTTCATTAGCATTTTTGTCGTTTCCGTTTACCAGACTTTACACACTTTGTCAAGCTTGCAAATAGCGAAACAATTTGAGCAAAGTGTTGAACTTTTCAAAGTACATTTACAAGTGTTTTTGCATTTCTTAATAAATGATTTCATTCTTGTTCCTTTCATCTGATTCGCTCTGATTTACTCCAACAAATGAGCACATTTACACAAGTTATCTTCATCTTTGCTCTTTCAACTGACTTCCATGCTCAATGAACAGCCATAATGACAATCTGATTTAAATATTTGTTCATTTTCACTTTTCATGTCTTTCAACATGATGCTTTTTCCATTCTTTATTCTGTATTCCTATCATGCATTTTTCTTGCAAAGGAATCACATTTTTCCATGTTGTTAATGTTCCTTTTGCTCTCGTCATTCTTCACTTTTCATCATTTCCATTTTACAGCATTTTCGCTCATCTTTTTCATCTTCATTCTCTTTCAGCTTCAATAATATTCTTCTATTTCAACGTCAACATCATTGAACAGATGATTATCATAATTATCGCAGAGAACAAAATGATTTTGATGAAAAATAGAAAACACAAAAAAAGGCAAATTAAATTGCATAAAGAGACTCAATTATAATTTTCAAATGTGATGAGTAAAAAACTAGCAACTTTTGTAAAATTAATATTTGTTGTAAAGGTTGAGAAATATTAGTTTCAAGATATTAATGTTATAATAGATGGATGGGAAGAGAGGAAATGCATGGAAAAGAAAAGCTTTTAACCTTAGAATACCATGGAAATGTCAAGTACATCTGATTATTCAATTAAACAGAACTCAACGAATAAAAGAAACTATTCTTATTACCTTGGGTGATAAGATCAATTGTCATATTTTCATTCATAACTCTTCTCTTCTCTACCATTTTCAGCTTGAAATCCATCATTTCAACAATTCTCCTGAAACTCTTCTTTCGCATTTCCATCTGAATAAGGTTAAATGAAATTTAATCAGCAGATTTTACTTAAGAAAACTGGAAAAACAAAAATTTCCTCTTCAGCTTAATTCGATAATGAAAGACCAAAAGTTTAATGAAAGTTGAGATTAAAAAAGGTTTTCAGTTTTCAAGATCAAGTTTACCAGACTGACTTAGATCACTTTACAAGGAGAAATTTACAACAAAAACTGTTATCTGATCAGTAAATGACTGGGAATTGAAAGATTCCGCCAAAGAATTGATCGACTTTTAAATGATGAGAACTTTATGACTTTAATTGTGTTTGGATGCAACCTTTTTGGTGATGATGATCCATTCATTTGGATATTTTGTGCTCTTTTAAACATGTTGTTATGATAAGATTCATTCATTGTTCATGTTTCCATTCATTTTTTGTTCTTCATTTGGTTTCTGTTCTTTGATTCTGCTATCTGTGGACATCAATAATTGTACAGAAACGGAAATAATTGTCCGGTCAAATGGAAAGTTGACATGGTAAATAGAGAAATTCTGAGAAAGACAATGAACAGATAGAAGTTGTTAAAGTAAATGTAGACAGGCTGACAGGGTTGACAGAGGAAGCAAAAAAGAGATGAAAAAGCAACAAACAAAAGGACAAATTGTTCTCACTCAACTCTTCTCTTCACTTTTTTTCACTGTTTAACCCTTTTTCATGAAATATAATGAATAAGGTTATCATGATTAGCCATCAACTAAACTGACCATAAAATGGAATCGAATTTGCTTTAGAATTAAATTGAATTGTATAACAATTAAAGTTCATTTCAACAGAAAGTCTTTTATTAAATTAATCAACTTTCAGTCTTTATTAATGAAAATGGAATAAAAGTTTTCTCCGAATTTTGCAAAAGAATTGAACTAAGAAAGCGTTTTTTATCAAATGATTAATATTAAAAGTAAAGTCACATTTACTTTGAACATTATCATTGGCGAATGATGAAGATGATATCATAAACATTAATGATGCTGGGAATGGTTCATCATTAATATTAGTTAAGTTGGTTAACACTCAATGTTATGCTTTAGATGAGCAACTAGATTGAGTCACATTGAATTGAGATATTATTGTGAAGAAAATGGTTTCAACAATGAATACAGTTCTGGGTCAGGGTTGGTCAATGGTTCAACAGCTTTCATTACAGAATATAATGATAACAGAATTTAGGTGATGAGAAGTAAATTCAGATTGAGTTTGATTGTGGGAAATTGCTGATCATTAATGATAATGTTAATAGACTCAACAGAAATCGAGATCAAGAGAATGATCAGCATTTAGAAATATCCAGCTGTTTAACGCTTTTTCATGGAAAAAATTCTACAAAAGTAAACTTTTTCTTTGAAAATTCCAAGTTGTTTTCAT